AAAATTAAACCTTTATGGTATTAAAACACTGATTTTTAGGCCGAGCATGGTGGCTCATGCCTGTAATCCCAACACTTTGGAAGGCCAAGATAGGTAGGTCACTTGAGGTTACAAGTTTGAGACCAGCCTGGCCAACATGGTGAAATCCTGTCTCTATAAAAAATATAAAAATTAGCTGGGTGTGGTGGCAAATGCCTGTGGTCCCAGCTACTTGGGAGGTTGAGGCAGAGAATCACTTGAACCCAGGAGGTAGAGGCTGCAGTGAGCTAAGATCATGCCACTGCGCTCTAACCTGGGAACAGAGCAAGACTCTATCTCAAAAAAAAAAAAAAAAAAAAAAGTGGGGGAGGGGCACTGACTTTAAAAAAATTCTTTCTTTCCAAGGCACAGCTTAGATTATCTCAGCACCTTCTCAACTAGTCTCTGATTCTCCTTTGTTTCATCTGGAGGCACACACTGCAAAAGTAATCCTCTTATGGCACAAATTGGATGACCATGCTTCTGTTTATAACACTTTCAAGGCTTTGTGTTGTACTTAGAATAAAAATCCAAACTCCTTAAAAAGGCCTACAAGGCCCTGCATAATCTGTTCTCTGACTCTTTCCAACCTCACCTCAACCTGTTCTGTCTCCTTATTTACTATGTCTGACCACACTTGTCTTCTCTCAGTCCTTTCTCCGATTAGGGCCCATGCAGTTACTTGTTATTCCGTCAGCTTGTAATATTCTACCTCTTATTTTTGCTCTTCACATGGCCAACATAATCCCATCTTTTGGGAGCTGGGTTACAATCAAGCTTCTTTAAACTGTATCCCAGGGTGGCTTTGAATGTGGTCCAACACAAATTTGTAAACTTTCTTAAAACATGAGTTTGTTGTTTTTTTTTTTTAATTTGTTTTGGTTTTTTGGCTCATCAGCAATCATTAGTGCTAAAGTATTTTATGTGTAGCCCAAGACAATTCTTCCAATGTGGCCCAGGGAAGCCAAAATATTGGATATCCTTGGGCCTTACATAGTAGCTTTGGAGAGACCTTCCTTGACCACACTATTTGATAGATTCTCCCTTGTTTTCAGCTCAACCTCTTTCTTGTTTGCCTCACAAGCAGCATCTATGCCCTCTGAAAATTTTAATTCAGATGTTATCAGAATCAGAGAATCCTACAATTGTTTTATGTCCCCAAAAGCAAGAGGAAAATTCACTGCATTTTGATGTAATCTACATTTAAATAGTCCCATTCCTAGAATGGAAAGTATATTAAGAAGATTAATGAAGCTTGCTCAGCTTTGCATTTCCTCCCTATCCTATTCTCTAATATCAGCAACGCTGTAGCAGTGCGTGAACTGGCTGATATACACATTTCAGTTTCAGGCTCACCATCAGTGTGTATATTTATGGATTTCGTAAGTCTTCTCAACTTGATAAGTGATGCTTAACATAATTTGAACACTCTAATAAGATATTTGTGTTCTTATCACAATCATGTGATCCTATTAATTATTATTATTGCCATTGAGACTGAGTCTCACTCTGTCACTCGGGCTGAAGTGCAGCGGCACAATTATGGCACACTGCAGCCTTGATTCACTCAAGCAACCCTCCCATCTCAGCCTCCCAAGTAGCCAGGAATACAGGTTCGTGCCACCACACCTGGGTAATTTTTTTGTTTGTTGTTTTTGTTTTGTGTTTTTGTAGAGACTGGGTCTTACTAAGTTGCCCAGGCAGGTCTCAAACTCCTGGCCTCAAGTGATACTCCTGCCTCAATCTCCCAAAGGGCTAAAATTACAAGCATGAACCACTGTGCTTGGCCCACTCTGTCCCTTATAGTTGTTACAATATTCAGAATCTGATAGTAACAACATTTATAGAAACATATCTGCTTTAATCTTGTTTATAATTGTGATATCTTCATCTATAACAGACAGAAAACAGTATTTATGCACTTATAGGGTTGATTTTTCTTGCATTCTCTGTGTAGGAGACTGTTGGTCCAAAGTAAGACTCAATTAAATTTACCTAATATTTGTTGAAAATTTAGGTGCCAGGTGCCAGGTGCCAGGCACAGTCCCAGTTATAATATGGGGTTAAAAAAAAATAAGACATGATTGTTTCTCCCAGATTTAAAAGTTAGTTAGGAGAACAGACTCATATATAAAAACTAAGTACAGATAAACGATATAATTTCCCAAAATAATACTTCTCAAAAGCGAATTTTAGCCTTCACTGTGAGAGACACAAAAAAAATTACTGGTAGAAAACAAAATAGCTATTCTCTCTAGGTCAACACCTGATGTCACAGGGAACAGTAGCAGACTACTGGATGAAGTGTTGGCCATGTGCAATGTGTTGAAGTAATAATGTCCTACGGCAAGATATTCTAATTTTATTTTATGTTTTTGAGACAGAGTCTTGCTCTGTCGCCAGGCTGGAGTGCAGGGGTGCAATCTTGGCTACCTGCAACGCCCGCCTCCTGGGTCCAAGCGATTCTCCTGCCTCAGCTTCCTGAGTAGCTGGGACTACAGGCAAGCGCTATCACACCCAGCTAATATTTGTATTTTTAGCAGAGACAGGGTTTCACCATGTTGGCCAGGATGGTCTCAATCTCTAGACCTCGTGATTGGCCGGCCTTGGCTTCCCAAAGTGCTGGGATTACAGGTGTGAGCCACTGTGCCCAGCCGAAGATACTCTAATTTTTAAAGATTTGTAAAATATATACAAAGTGAAAGTGGCTCTGTAAAAACTGGATCATTTAACACTTTGATTATAACAAAAAAATTTACTTTGGACTTATCTCAGAATAGACAAAGTTGGAAACATATCATTGCTATTTGACCTTTGATGTAGCTAGGGAAGCAGTCATAGTAAATATAGATATGCTTTTTGCTTATTGCTGGAGGAGGTTGTCCCATGAGAAATCTAAAATTTTGAAAGAAAACATCAGGCAGGGTGGCTTCATGCCTGTTATCTCAGCACGTTGGGAGGCCAAGGCAGAAGGACTTGCTTGAAGCCAGGAGTTCCAGATCCACTTGGGCAACATAAGGAGACCTCATCTCTGCTAAAAATAAAAATAAAAACAAAAATAAAGCCAGGTATGGTGCACACTTGTAGCCAAGCTATGCAGGAGGCTAAAGTGGGAGAATCATTTGAGTCTTGAAGGTTGAGGCTGCAGTGAGCCATGACTGCACCAACTGCACTCCAGCCTTGCTGACAGAGCGAGACCCTGTCTCAAAAACTTTTTTAATAAAGAAAATAAAATCTTCATAGAACAGTAAGTAAGATCAAATTCAGGAATGAATCTCAAACTGTACAATTAATCACAGGGACAGCATTAGTTCACAAGAGTATTCAGATTGAAAGTAGAGTAATTTTTCTCAAGATGACAACTAAGCAGAGACACAAGAGGCGGAAGCTGCAAAGCTCAGACCTTTTTGAAACCTGATATCACATTGATACTAGTCATTAGAACACACCCATCACTTACATCAACATCTTTTTTCAATTATCCTTCTCCTGTCCACCTGCCCTCTGTTCCCACTCACTGCTTATGAAAGATCAGAGCAGGAAAGAGCTGGATTATTTACAGAATCTGTGAAACAAAGTAAATGTTATGCCTGTTCTCTTTCTTCAAAAAATGGAAAATTACCATACTTCGTTTTGTTATTAAGTGATAGAAAAGCCCCTAAGAGAATGATCAAATGAAAAACTTGAGAAAAATAACTTGTTAATTTAAAATAATAGATCTAAGTTTCAAACTTTAGCTGGTAAATATGATAGTCTTCTTTAAATATAGGTTTGACTAAGAAGAGAATGTGATCCAAGTTTTTTACTGTCTTAAATTCCCCTAAGCAAATTTTGTCAATAAAAAATTATTAGTACTCAAGAGGGGAAAGTTGGAACATTTTTCACTTCCTCTTGAACCTAGTCTTACAGGTGTAATTTCATTGTTTTAAGTAATGTAAACTCTATACATTTCAGAAAATACATACAAAAGGTAAATGTAAACACATTCCAAAACAACTCACACACAGTGTATTTTCTCAATTTGTTAGACAGTCCCTATTGTTTACAATACAAATTGGCATAGGCATGGAGAAGACGAGCTCACCCATTTCAGGTCTGTAAGGACTCTAAGGTTGTATGTTACCTGTTTGCTTTATATCCTGCTTATATCTTATCCAAAAGCAGCAATTTCACAGAGAAATAATTACTATATGCAAATACATTCACCGTGTTATAGATACTTCTGTCTTTTGACTGGACAACACTGACAACACTTTAAAATTTAACTTCCATTAACATGCAGTGAAGTCTATCTGTTGTCCTTTGTAAATAAGAATGATATACTAATACATATTATTATTAATCTATGTGTGGCTGCATTTATGTTTTCAGTGATAACAATTATTTTGCATTAAGTCCTGACCAAGTTCTCCCTGAGGGCAACAGAATCTTCTGAAATACTGCTGGCTGGGGTTAGGGATGCAATTTGTACTAAACCTAGTAGACCCTACTAAGGTGTCATTAACGGATGCTCTAAGGAAATGATTCACTGACCACAGACAAAACGGAGCCAGTTTTCACTGACTGCTGTCCCATAGCACATTAACATATGATATGCTGCCCTAAAGCCCTTGACAGATACATTACCTAGTTGGACATTTCCTTCTGGTCAACAAATTAGCCATAGAATTTATATAATTTCAACTATCAGCAGTTCTATACACCAAATGAATCACACAGGAACAGTTACAAGATGAACATCTGTTACGAGATGAACAAACCTAAAACTCTAATGTAGTTAAGTCCATCCAGAAGGATGAAATGCATAATGCACACACTGATACTCTTATCAGTTAATTTCACCATGTTTCTCAGAAGGTATTAAAACAGTCTTATTCTAAGGACCTCCCCCACTCACTTATAACACCTTCAAAGCTACAATGAGTGAAAGCAGAGACTAAGAGAGAAAATAACTAACCCACAAAACTCACAAAGGTGGTTACCTGGTAGTCTGGTTTTGTAAAATAATCCAAAGAAGAGATATGGTCTAGAAAGATGCTGAATTCTGGAGGGAGATGTTTCAACATGAGCCTGTGGTCATATCTCTCCTTAATAGAGCCTACTTGCTCCTGGGAAGTAAAGAGAAAAAGAGCTCCAGTCAATTTCTCCTGGCAGTTAGGCATTAAGAGCTCCCCAGTAACAGTCTCAAGGGTACTAGGGAATGAGATAGTGGGTAATTAAGCATAAAGCAAGAACTGAGCTCTTACTGATGGCTTAATGTACAGTGCTTTAAAGGAGAAGAAAACTATAATGCAAAATAAAACAAGTAGCACAGAGTTCTGCATCAGTGTATTCATAGTTCCCAAAAGAAATTATTTATTTATTTAGTTTTTCAGACAGGGTCTCATTCTGTCGCCCAGGCTGAAGTGCAGTGGCACGATCACAACTCATTGCAGCCTCAACCTTTGAGACTCAAGTGATCTGCCTGCCTCAGCTTCCCAAGTAGCTGGGACTAGAGGCATATGCCACCATATGCAGATAATTTTTAAAAATCTTTTGTAAAGATGCGGGTCTTGCCATGTTATCCAGCCAGGGCTCAAATTTTTGGGCTCAATTGATCCTCTTGCCTCGGCCTCCAGAGGTGCTGGGATCATAGATGTGAGCCATTGCACCTATCTCAAAATAATTTATCTTAAATCTGATCTATTTGTCTTTATCAACACATGTGTTTACAGTTTTCTAAATCAAACAATACAATGTGACAACCAAAAACTAAAAGTTTACTTGACTTATAAAAACAAAGGAGAGAACTAATGAAATTAAAAGTTAAGATAGAGGGCTTTAAATTAGTCAGAAGCAATTAGTATCTACTCTATGTACACAGAAAATGTCGTAACATTAATTCGATCTATAATGTCAGCTCGGAGAGAAAAATATACATATTGGGATATAGTAAAAGTCCTTGTAGATTTTAAGCCTTATACATGAGTATATTTTCAACAAAAATGTTTATTCAGGAGAAATTTTTATTTCTTCCAACAAAATTGACTTCTCCATTCCCAAAATTACCTTGTCCTTTATTTTTCTCCAAGGCAGCTGACCAACCACAAATTCCACCAACATGTAGAATAAGGACCAAAGGTCATCATGTCTTCCCATTTCCTTCATAAACAAAACAGAAGTCAGTCACATTACATTACTATCACTTGTGAGTACATTACATTGGTCAAGGCCTAACCATTTTGTTTTACCTTATTAGGTGAAAAATGTAAAATTATTTCTCAAAAAATTTATATGGTAAATATATCTATAAATTTATATAGCTACACAGCAATCTATTTGGCAGAATGTATGAACTGGAAAACCTTTTGAAATAAAGAACACCTCAAAACGTAGAAATGCTGGCAATAACATAACAGTCCATTAGTTAATGTGTTCATTTAGAAGAAAGAGAACTCTGAAAAGCTATTTTTTTAAAAGGTGGAAATAAGGGAAGCAAGAGGATGCTGAAGTTTTGGCTGCTCTGGAGGCATCTGTCATGAGTTTATCAACCAGGAAGGGGACAGGAGTAAAGGCATTGTGCCTATATAGGACAGGAGTTATAACTGAAATTTACCCCACCTCCACCATATAGCTAGGACCTTATAAGGGTTACATCCTTGGTGTAGTATTTGGTATATACATTATACTGTAATAATTGTTTTCTGTAAAAGTTAACTGCTATCCAAGAAAAAAAAATGGGTTTTTAAAAAATTGCCCTGAGAGTCTGTTACCATAGACCTGCCCCTCATTTAGAGTTGGGGGTTAAATATGTACTTGTGTGGTCTGAAAAACCAAGCCCAGAAATTAACTTGAAATTGACTTCTGAGTAATCATGCCCTGCAGGAATGACAGAAGTAAATTTATCCTCTCAGGATAAATACATCCCTAAATTCAGACCTCATAAAAGTACTATAGAAAAAGCCTCACCAAACATACATTCATTATTCAAATTTATAAAATATGTTAATAAATTAATGTCAAAAGAAGCTACAAAGAGCAGATAAAAGTATCCAAGGATTTCAGAAATAGAATTATAGGATACGAAGTAAGAATTTTTAAAATGTTTAAAAAATGGAGTCAAAGTCAGTGAAAAATAATTATATATATATATATTCAATACAAATCAACCAAAACCAACCAGATTTGAAAAATGACTAAAAAGAACATCTAGAAATAAAAAGCACAATCATAGAAATTAAAAGCTCATGAAACACTGCAGAAAAAATCAATTTGGAAAACAGATCTGAAGAAATTATCTAGAATGCAGCACAGAGAAACAAATAATTAGAAAATCTGGTAAATAAGAAAATGAAAAATAAGAAAATAAAAGAAAGTCTAATATATCAATTTGGCCATCTGGGAAAAAGGATATAAAGAGAAAGGGAAAAAGGGAATATGAGAATGTTCCAGAATCGAGGAAAGACATGAACATTTCAATTTGAAAATAGATCAAATCCCAAACAGATAAATATTTAAAAATCCACACTTAGGCACATTTGAACATGGGACTCCAAAGACAGAGAAGATACCAAAAGTATTAAAATAAAAAGGACAAATTGGCTAGGCACGGTGACTCTGCCTATAATCCCAGCATTTTTGAAGGCTGAGACAGGTGAGTTGCTTTAGCTCAGGAGTTCAAGACTACCCTGGGCAACATTGTAAAGCCCTGTCTCTACAAAAAATACAAAAATTATCGAGATGTGGCGGCACATGCCTGTGATCCCAGCTACTCAGGAGGCTGAGGTGGGAGGACTGCTTGAGCCAGGAGGTTGAGGTTGCAGTGAGCTGAGATCATGCCAGTATACTCCAGCCTGGGCAACAGAGCAAGACTCTCTCAAAAAAATAAAAAATAAAATAAAATTTTAAAAAAGAAAAATTAAATACAAAGTAACAAAAATAAAGGAACAAAGATTTTCTCAACAGTGACCCAAGAAGCAGAAGAAAGTAATTTTTTCAAAGTATTGAGATAAATATTAATAAGATTAAAATGTAAAACAGCAATAAGACAGCATGACAGAGTTCAAGTGTTTTTAAAATTACTTGTATTAAGAATTATTTATGTTAAAAGTTTAAGATTTAGCAAGGCATGGTGGTTCACACCTGTAATGCTTGCACTTTGAGGGGCCGAGGCTAGAAGAATGCTTGAGGCCAGGAGTTCAAGACCAGTCTGGGCAATGTAGCAAGACTGTCAATACAAAAAAATTAAAAAATAGCCAGGTATGCTGGTGTGCACCTGTGGTTCTAGCTACTCAGAAGGCTGAAGCAGGAAGATCACTTGAGCCCAGGAGTTCAAGGTTATAGTAAGCTAAGATCCTGCCTCTATACTCCAGCCTGGGCAACAGAACAAGAACCTGCTCTCTAAAAAATAAAGTTTAAGAAGCCAGAAAAAGAGAAATGGAGTGTATTATTTTTAGATATTATCAAATAAGGGTTGCAGAATATGGAAAAAAGGAAAAATGTTAGAATTATCTGGGAATCCTTTTAAAATTAGACAAGCAATAAGGTTCCAAGAGTTGCACTCCTGCATCATCTCATAAACTAACAATCACTGTGAACTATGTTGCTGTGTAAAAGCATTCTACCCGTCAGGTGTGCTGGGAGCAGAAAAGAAGGTTAAGAACCACTTCTATATACTATCAAATTCCTCCAAAAGGTTAGATGAGTAACAAATAAGCAAGTTATCGAAGTAACTGTTAGAGCATTCTACACTGGAAAGGCTTTTAGAAGAAATCTCCACTTTGTAAATTAAAACAATAAAAGTATATACTCTCTTTCTATTAGCAATTTTGAAAATGCTTATATAGCTATTACAATCTCTGAAAATACTTATGCTTATCTTAAAAATGTTTTCACAGATTCCAATGTTAACATAATTCTTTAATAAAATTATTTGGAAAACCTAGTATTTCTAAACTTTTATAAGAATCTATCAGGAAAGGAAGAGAACTTCTTTTCAAGGCAAAGAAAATAACTAGGTATCATAAAGGAAAGCAACACTGAATCAAACCAAATGGTTTTTAATGCTTGCCAGGGTGCTACACACTGAGAAAAACAACTTTACTATTTTCAAATTATAATCATGCCATAAGAAACCAAATTAATTGGAGCATACTATGTAAGACCACAGTATACTCTTCCTATTATATGTTGGTCAAGTTCTCATTAAAGCAATTTTGGCTTATCAGAACAGGAACAAGGAAACAAAAGTATCAAGAAAGAATACTTTTACCCTATTCTATCAAGGAATCACTTGTTAAATTTCTCAACTCCATACAAACAAGTTAAAGGATTGATTATCCATAAAAAAAGCCCACTTTTCCTGCTCATAATTAAAGTTCAGGATGAGGGGGGGAAAGTTGGCACAGAACAAAACGACCAAAGTAAGGGGTGAGGGGAGAGATTTTTAAAATTTAACCCAAGAGGAAAGGGATAATTTATTAAAATGAAAACTGTAAAACTGTCTGTACTTGAACTCTTCATGAAAACAAAAGATTTGGTGGGAAGAGGGATATCAAAGATTAGATACATATTACAGATAAAATGTTGAGTCACACATTTCATTAGGTATTGATAGTACTATATTCCCAAATAATTTCTGGAAATAGTACACAGATGTTCAGTATCTTCCAATTATATACATATATATATATATATGTGTGTGTATGTATGTGTGTATATATATATATATATATATATATATATATATATATATATATGATTTTTAATTTTTTTAGAGGGAGTCTCGGTCTGTTACCCAGGCTGGAGTGCAGTGGCATAATCTCAGCTCACCACAACCTCCACTTCCTGGGTTCAAGAGATTTTCCTGCCCCAGTCTCCCGAGCAGCTGGGACTATAGGCATGCGCCACCACGCCCAACTAATTTTTGTATTTTTAGTAGAGACAGGGTTTCACCATGTTGGTCAGGCTGTTCTCGAACTCCTGACCTCATGATCTGCCCACCTCAGCCTCCCAAAGTTCTTGATTAAATTTGTTAATACTTGTATCTAATTAAGGACACAGATTCCCCACAGACAGAAATATACTCAGCTACTGCCTTTTCTGGCAAATCCAATTTTATTTTCCAAGCAGCTGCACATATCTGTTATCCACTATACACTTTACTGTACATTCATATTACCAACTCCTTTACCATCGATGCCACACAAGAATGAATTAGAACAAACATTCCAAGTAACTTTGTAGCTATTAAAGAGATCCTCAACTCTCAAGCACTTTCCACATCTTTTTACTTTATAAAGAAGTCAATCTGATTTAAGGTACTGGCATACTTATACATATATGACTAGTTCAGATACCTACCCTGTTCCGATGAGCGTTGACTGATGCATAACGAACTGTCCCTCGAAACCCTGCCACAGCTCGAGGCTACAACAAAGCCATGCAAAGAATAATAAATGAGCTTCAAATAGCAATACATTCAGCACACTTGAACCCATGAAATAAATGGGAAGAAACACGTCCTTTATTGTCGCAATAAAACACTGTATAATTTCTAACTTTTAACTATGAAATTAATGACACTAGAGAGAATATCTCTAAATCACACCTTAAAAAAAAAACTGATAAATTTTAATTTTCAGCCCAGTTTTTTCCTACCTATATTTAAAATACAGAGGCATTTATGACATCTATACAACTCTGTATATTAGAAAACATTAAATGCTTTCATATACCCATAATCATGAAAAGCATCTTAGTATACACATTAATATTCAGGTTCTGGATACAAATAAAACATTTAGATGGTGAGGAATCACTAAGCAAACTAAGATACCAAGCTCTTCATATCTTGGCTATTTCATTCAAACTCAATTCAAAGGTGGTGGTAACTTGTACCCTACCTTCGTATATAATTCATGTATTAAAAATTCAAGTTATTGGGAAATTAGTAGGTGCCACATACTAGAAATAACACCAACATGAAAAATATATGATCCTTGTCCAATATGAGTCCTCCAAGAACTCAGAATAAAATCCACGCTTTTTTTTTTTTTTTTTGAGACGGAGTTTCACTGTTGTTACCCAGGCTGGAGTGCAATGGCACGATCTTGGCTCACTGCAACCTCCGCCTCCTGGGTTCAAGCAATTCTCCTGCCTCAGCCTCCTGAGTAGCTGGGACTACAGGCGTGCACCACCACACCCGGCTAATTTTTCTATTTTTAGTAGAGACAGGGTTTCACCTTGTTGACCAAGATGGTCTTGATCTCTTGACCTCGTGATCCACCCACCTTGGCCTCCCAAAGTGCTGGGATTATAAGCGTGAGCCACCACGCCCGGCCAAATCCAAGCTTTTTACTTAGCCTATGAGACTTTTCATAATCTGGCATTTGTCTTCTTCCACAATGGATTTATCATAGTTTCTTTTATGACTAATTTTGGTTTAGCTCAACACAGTGAACACTATTTTCTCTAGTTGGAATGCCAGCTCCTTGAATCCCTCCAGTGGCTGGCTCTTCTACTCCATTTTAAGGCTTCTGCTCAAATGTCATTTCCTCAAAAAAACTTTCCTTAATCACTGTAATCTAAAATACTACTTCACCCATCTGTAGTTCCACTCTATTCTTTTACTCTGCTTTATTTCTTTCTTATAACACCTTTACTACACCCAAATCAATTTTATTTATTATTATTATTATTATTATTATTATTATTATTTTGAGATAGAGTCTTGCACTGTTGCCCAGGTTGGAGTGCAGTCATGCAATCTCAGCTCACTGCAACTCCACCTCCCGGGTTCAAGCTATCCTTCTGCCTCAGCCTCCTGAGTAGCTGGGATTACAAGCATGCACTACTACGCCCAGCTAATTTTTGTATTATTAGTAGAGACAGGACCATACTAGCCAGGCTGGTCTTGAACTCCTGGCCTCGTGATCTGCCCACCTCAGCCTCCCAAAGTGCTGGGATTACAGGTGTAAGCCACTGTGCCCGGCCAATTTTATTTATATTCTTATTCTGTTTACTGCCCATTTGTTTAGACTAATTTTTTTTTTAGGAGATGAGGTCACTCTGTGGCCCAGGCTGGAATGCAGTGGTATAATCATAGTTCACAGCAGCCTCAAGTTCCTGGGCTCAAGTGATCCTCCTGCCTCAGCCTCCCAAGTAGCTAGTACTACTGGAGTACACCACCACATAGGGTTAATCTATTTTAATTTGTTTATTGTCTGTCTTCTTTTAGTCCATGGAATTTAAACTCTGTGTGGGCAAGGTCTTTGTCTTGTTCATTTTACAAACAGATACAGGCTCTGAGATGTATGTAACTTGTCTAAAGATACAAAAATCAGTAAACAATAAAACCAGACATCAACTAAGGTCTGTCGACATTGTCTCCGTTCTACTGCTCCACAAGAATCAAGTCTGTATCCTGATGATTCGTGGGTGGTACTGTAGTTCAATATGAAAACTGACAAACTTGAAAATGATCATAGCCAAACTTTCCATTAGTATAATTTTTGGGGTTTTTTTCTTAAGTAATTTCAAACTTTCCTCAATTAACATGTATTACTTTTGTAGTCAGAAAAGATAACATTAAATGTTATTTTAAAAATCCTTACCAGACTCATTTGGTCATATGTTATTGCATAACATAAACAATCTACGTGTTCTTCCTCCATTGGCTCATTCTGGTAATCTGTGTTTAATCAAGTTAGCCATTTCACTTCTTCCTTTACTAAATACTTTTTCCCTTTACCTTTTTTTGTTTTTAAGACAACTATTTTAAAATATTCCCTATTTAATGGCAAGTCTCAGTAATCAAAAGTTCCTGCAATCTTTAAAAACTCCCTGTTATTTTCATTGACAATTACAGTTAGTAGATCTCAATATTTTCCTAAGACATCATGATTAACAGGAATACCTAATAGTCTCAATTTGGTTGATGGAACTAAGGTTAGTGTTCTCTTTTTAAGAAGAAAATGTCTAAGAAAATATATGAAAGTCTACTCTAAATCTTTTTTGGTAAATGACATTTCAGAGGTTACACTTTTATTCATTAACTGACAAGAGTCTTCAGCTAACATAAATTTTTTGTGTGTTATGTAATTTTGCCGAATTATTTTCATTCTAGTAACAGTCAGAATGAAAATCTCCAGACTTATTATCACATTTTGCAGCCTAGTCCACAGTTGATTGGGCACCTAGACTTCTCCCTGATGGATTCTAGCCAAGACAAGCCCAGGAGACTCTTTCTACTTAAGAGTTTCCATAGCCTGGCTCTGACCTTACTTCTGCCGTGGAAAGGCTGAAATAAAGGTAAAGAGAAATCAGCTGTTTAGAGAAATCTTGACATAAGTAGTCAAATAAATAATACATTTGCATATCTAATTCTAATAATAAAAAAAGGAAATATCAGATCAAGGAAATTCAATTACGTTATTAAATGTAGTAAAGACAACTCAAATCCAACTGAGGAAAAACTACTACATATGCAAATGATTCCAATTTAAAGCAGATTATGATGAATACCATTAGTGAAGCACAATGAGATATAAACACTCAGGAGTGGTAAGGATTAGTTCCATGTAGTAGGAGGGAAGAAGGACAAGTCTTAAGAATAGGCAGCACTTTAGAGGGTCTTAAAACAATCTCTTGAAACTTCCTCAACTGATGGCACTTTGGCAATATTTATCAAAATTGTAAATACAAATATTCACTTTGTCCCACAATTTCACTTCTGGAAATTTATCTCACAGATATACTTGTATTTGTACAAAAACAGTGGATGTACAAAGTCATTCACTACCATCAGGGTTTGTGATAGCAAAAGATGAGTGCAACCTAAATATCTGCCAATAGAGACAATGATTAAATAAATTATAGAATGCCCAAATAAGGGAATACACTTTGAAACTGCAAAAAAAAAAAAAAAAAAAAAAAGAGGGGCCAGGCACAGTAGTTCATGCCTATAATTCCAGAACTTTGGGAGGCTAAGGCAGGAGGATCACTTGAAGCTAGGAGATCAAGACCAGCCTGGGCAACATAGTGACACCCTATCTCTTAAAAAAAAAAAAAAAAGAATTAGCTGGGCACGGTGCCACACATCTATAGCCCCAGCTACCAGCTACTTGGGAGGATGCAGTAGGAGGACCACTGAGCCATGGGTGTAGTGAGCTTCAATTGTGCCACTCCATTCCAGCTTGAGTTACAAAGTGAGACCCTATCTAAAAGAAAAAAAAAAAAAACATAAAGACAAAATTCTATATACCAACATGGAAAGATCATACAGATACACTCTGAAGGGAAAAAAATAACAGTATAAAATGTATATCATGCTAGATTTTGAATCAAAAAGGGAAAAATAAGAATGTTCATTTGTATTTGTTGTATGTGAATAAAGAAATTCTGGAAGAACACATTAAGAAGCTAGTAACAGTACAGCCACCTAAAGATGAACGTAGGGAGTAGGGGTAAGAATCAGAATCAGAAACAGTACAAGAAATGGGTAAATTTGGAATAGGCAGAGGTGAAATGAAGACTTCACTGTTTACTTTTTAATTTCTTTTCAAGTCAGGTTTAATTTACTTTATTTTTAATTAGTGAGGTATAATTTACTTACAGTAAAATTCGTACTTTACGTACACACTGTACTATGAGTTTTGACTAAGATATAAAGTCATATAACTACCACCACAATTAAGATATCAAATATTTCCATCACTCCAAGAAGTTTCCTTAATGCTCCTTTGAGTCAATCCCTCCCACCCCTAGTCTCTGACAACCAAGGATTTATGTCCCTCATCAGCACTTAGTATCATATGGTTTTTGTTTTAACCATTCTAATTGATAAGTAGTGGTATCTTGCCAGGGTTTTAATTTGCATTTCCCTAATAACTAATAATATTTACCATCTCTTAATATGCTTATTTGCCATTTGTATCTCTTCTTTGATAAAATGTCTATTCAAATCTTTAGCCCATTTTTATTGTGTTGTTTTCTTTTTATTGAGTTGTATGAATTGTTTACAGATTCTGGATATAAATCCTTTATTAGATGTGCATTCTGCAAATATTTTTCCTCATCTGTGTCTTGTCTTTTTATTTGCTTAACAGTGTCTTTCAAAGAGCAGAAGTGTTTAGTTTTGATACATTTTTAATTCTTTAATTTTTGCATCACATGAATATATTACCTATTCAAAATTTATATTTAAAACATTTTGAAAGAAAAATAAAGTAAAAAGTGAGAGTATTTAACAATCTATGAGCCTTTTAACAATCTACGAGCATATTTTAATTTGATACCTAAATATTCAAATGAAAACAAAAGAGAAAAAATAAATTGAAGGACTAATAGAATTACAATAGGAAAAATGAGATGCATTTTAGGTAAAAAGAAAATGGTGAACAATGCAAAGAGGCAGGAAAGTACTGTTG